TTTTATATATTTTTAAGATAATAAAAAAATAAAAACTAAAAAATAAAATATAGAAAGATGTTATCAAACACAACCTTAGCTGTTTCCTATGCCTTACAATTTTACTTAGTTGTTTGTTACACCACAAAGTTTTACTTATTTGCATATTAAGTGTATCAATTATTTCATTTTTATTTTAGAGTGGAGAAAGGAGGGAATGAAAAAGGTAAAAAACAAGAATTAAGAGGTTGTATTATCTAAGGGTTTATCTAATCTATATTCTTTAGGCATTAGTTATAGGTACATTAATATCTACCTTATATGAAAATCTTACTAGAGTTAAAATCATGATTAAGATTTTTAGAAAGGAGATATTTGGAGATTCAAAAATATTTAGGTAAGTCATCCACATTAGCATTAGGGGCATATCAATCTAAAATAAGACTTTGCACTTTTTCTTTTAATTTCCTCTGCCTCTTTTTCCCTCAATTAAATTTTTTTCTCTCCCCTAAACTCCCCTGATTCTCTTGTTGATATCGAACCAAGATATCTTTAGTTTTATAATTTCTTTATTCCCTACTTCCTCCACTTTAAAAAAGGGATTAATGAAAATATGAATGTCCTTTCTCTGTATAAAGTATTTTTTACATCTTTGGTTGAGCTTAAAATTAATGGAAAATTGTTTAATTCTTTTAATAGTTACAACCTTTTCACAATAACTTGCATGTATTTCAAAATTAAAGAATAATTTTATAAGTAAGACCCTCTTTTTGGCCTACGGCTTTATGTAATGCAAAAGGGTGAGTCCACCATTGAAGGTGGTTAGTTCCCAAAAACAAAGTCATTCCCCGATGGGACATTCTTTTCTCATTTAGTCTAGGGTTTTGGTGTAAGGCATTGGAGGTCTGCATGGCAATTTCACAAAGTTCTGATCTTGGTGTGCTAGGGTGTGGAGCTAGGGCTATTGTTGGTGCCAACCTATGCTTACTAGTGCTCAATGGATGGAGGATTAGGTTGGTTGTCCATTGGAGGTTGGTAACTAGATCATTGAAATGAAAGCAGGAGTGGCACAAGTCCCCCCCTTGGATTGGAGGTAGATAGGGGCACTAGCTTTAATCTCCCAAAGATTTGTGTGCAAAATCCCTAATGATATTCATCACACAAATTCGGACAACCAATAATTACAATTTCTTTTTCATTTTCTCGTGGGCCTACCAACCATGGCTTCATTGATATGGATGTTGGGTCATTATTTTTTTTGTGTTTTTCAAAAACTGTTTTATAGTTTGCAATGGTAATGAAACGAAAACTTTTAAAAGGAAAATGATTTCTTAAATTTACACATATTTTAAGAATAATTATTTTATTATTTATTTTTAATAAATTTTTAAAATTTTAAAATATAAATTTTATATAAAAATTTAATATATAATTTATATGAATAATAATTAAAAATTTCTTGACCCTAGTTCTTTCTAAATATTTTTATT